TATTGGTAGAAAGATACTCTCAAAGAAAGAAGTAGTTTGGAGGAACAGGAAATGTAAAAGGTCAACCACAAACCATTCTGATTTAAACGTGATATGATTTAGCATAACCAAAACATCAAAAGCTATTATTGGGAACACGGGAAACTTACATCACAGTGGTGCACCAGATAGATACACATGGCTAGAGCGACATGGCTGTGAGCGGCAACCCCCACCACGAGGAATGGATTTTAGTGGACACAGTAAATTTGTGAGCTGGCATGCCATATGGACCCCTTTGCAAAATAAATAAGCTCAAATCCCGGTGTTCTATTTGTAGCTAGTCACATTGTTGCTTTCTTACTCTCTACTTCAGCAACTTAACCATAGCTAGGGCCTGTACCCTAAATCTCCTACCTTTGGCAAGTTTCTTGTTCTTGGCTCACTGATGACTGATGTGGGTATGAGCCTGAATTGTGTTTTAGTAGCCAACATCTCTGTAAGTAAGACCAGCAGAAATACTGCTGTCAGTGGAAAATTCAGAATGGCAAATGATAGCATCAGCAAGGAAGGATAAATATAGACAGTATATTCATATCACTTGTTAGGCTAAGATCATCTCAGCACTGTGGAATTGCTCGTTTTTGTTTGTTTGTTTTGGTTGAAGGATTTATTGTGGCTTAGTCTATTTCCTTTGGTTCAATCCGCCTCTTTCTGAGCCCTTTTAGCAAGGACAATAGGTCTGAGTGTGAAATAAGTGAATGGAAGAAAAGATAGGCAAATGGAACTCATATATCAAAACAGTAAGCATACAAGTGACTCTTCACTCATTAAGTTACACAATGCCAGAGTTGCCTATTAATCTAAGTAAATGATCAATGCAGTCCTTGGGTAAGTAGCTTTCATGGGAATTAATTAAAGATACCAGAGGAGACTTAGGAGCAGGACTTTGGAACAAGCCACAGACCATATTTTTTTGTGTGTACAGTAATACCTGGTTTTTAATATGGAGCCACTTTTCTTTCTTGTTAGGGAACAGCATGTTGTCAGCAAAATTAAGCCCCAGAATGAAACTTCTTCAAAAAAGGAAAGCCAAAATGAAATCATTTTTTAAGGGTATAAATAAAATAGATCCACGCATTTCCTGACAGCCTGAATGAGAGGGTCCATATTTATCTCAGTAAGCTTTCAGCGTTAGACTTTAGGAGCCAAAGTGACAGTTTTGGACTCAGCCAGACAGTGAGCCTTATATATAAAGACTCAAAATAGATTTCCTTTGCCCCTAGTCCTGCCAAAGAGCCATTTTAGGTGTGCAGGAAGGCGCTGAGCACACTAATGCATAGTGCCCTTATGCTGAGTGGGAGCAATGGATGGCTTTGCCTCACCTGACTTTTCTTGATTGGAATTTAGATCCCCAAAGAATCTGAAAGGTAATATGATATTTCTTGTGATTTCACGGCAGATGTGCTTTTTGCCTTTTTTTTCTTTTTTATACATGGAATCGTTGAAAATTGAGAAGAAAATGCAAAAAGCCTGCATTATAATGGAAATAGATAATCGAGCTGTGGGCAATCATTGATGCTTTTGATCATTCTGGGATTAGAAGAATTCTTCATACTTGTAGAAATGGACTGTGTCAAAAGATAAGGAATACAAAAATGGATTTAAGTAAGATAGGAACTTTCATCCTAAATTTCACTAGAACTCAAAGCCAACTTTTGGTAGTAATATTCTGAAGAGCCTTATAGCTGTGCTCTTTTACAATCTCCCGTTTTTCTTTGACCTTCTTTCCTCTCTTCTTTCTCATTGCTTTCAATAAAAAAAATTGGAAGAGCCCCCCAAAAATGAAACAAGATGAAACCAGAGAGGGAGACAAATCATAAGAGACTCTTAATCTTAGAAAACAAACAGGGTTGCTGGAGGGATGGGGGGATGGGGTAACTGGGTGATGGACATTGGGGAGGGTATGTGTTGTAATGAGCACTGTGTATTATATAAGACTGATGAATCACAGACCTGTACCCCTGAAACAAATAACACATTATATGTTAATTAATTGAATTTAAATAAAAATAAATTTAAAAAAATTGGAAGACCACCTATATGCTTTTGATACTGTGCTAGGTTCTGGACAGAGCAAAATGGGAGAGGGTATGGGCCCTCTTCTAAAATTTGCAAGTTAAACTCTTATGTAAATGATGTGTTCATTGAATAATATATTAACTTACACAGGCACAGAATGAAGCAGAGAGGATTTAGGTTTCATGTTTAGGTAAGAAAAAAGTGGGTTTGTACAATTTTCTCAAGTTAGTGAGAGAAAACTGTAAATGAGATGGGATGACTGCACAAATAGAGCATGAAGTTAATGCGACTGAGACAAGCAAAGGAGTGGGTAGCGTAGTGGGAGAAGAAAAATGATATGAGGTGGTGCTAAGGGTGCTTTGAGGAAGGACTATCTGAACACAAGGTAAGCCTAATCCTTAATGTAGTAAGTAGTAATTACAGACTTTCAGGAGAGGAAATGGAGTTCATAAAATCTTTAAGTGAAAAGTCAACTGTGTCTAAAAGCATTTGTTCTAGTTTCAGCCTACAGCCTGGGGACTTCAGTAGGGAGGAGATTGTGACAGCTGGGGCTTAGATCATAAGCATAAGTGAGGGGTGGTTTAGGAGGACAAACGCAGTATTTGGTGAGAGACTGGAGTGGAGGACAGGGAAAATTAGAATTACTGCAAGGTCTCTGGCTTGGGAGGTCAGAGTAACTTTGGTGTCACTTCTTATGCTGGGGAGGCTGGGCTTAGGAAGGGGTGGTAAAAGGAAAAGAGGCAGGGCTAGCTTCAGTGGGGCTGATCTGAGGGCAGTACAAGGCATGATGTAAGGAGTCTGCCCAGAACTCAGGTGAGGGGCAAAAATCTACAGCAGAAGATAGATACCACCCTTTCTCTCTTTCAGCCTGGCTTGGGCCTATATGAGATGACAGACTAATGTGGTTGGTTTTGTTTGTTTGTCATTTTGGCTTCTTTCTTTCTTTCTCTTTCTTTTTTTAAAGATTTTATTTATTTATTTGAAAGAGAGAGAATGAGAGCGCGAGAGAGAGCATGGGGGGGGGGAGGGTCAGAGGGAGAAGCAGACTCCCTGCTGAGCAGGGAGCCCAATGTGGGACTGGATCCTGGGACTCCAGGATCATGACCTGAGCCAAAGGCAGTCACTCAACTAACTGAGCCACCCACATGCCCCTGGCTTGTTTCTTTCTAAACATGAGATGATTTGAATGGTTCTTTAAGGATGTCCCTTGTATTTTCTTTTGAACTCATGGTCTGCCTCATTAAGGGGAATCACACTTTCTCAGTGTGAAACTATGTGCAGGTTGAGGTCTCTCATTTGACGAAGAAATGCTTCCTTAATTAAATAATGTGAAAAGGAACTCTTAGCCCTAAAATATGACATGGAGCTTTCTATACCATGCGTGTGTGTGTGCATCTGTCTGTGTGTTTATGCACATGTATATAGCATGCCTTATACAATTGTAGTTATGTCTAAATTTCTGTACTTAGGCTTATAAATTTTGGGTGTCTTATTTTTCTTTGGAAATAAGGAGTATACCTTCTACTTCATTTGTACCCCACAGAGCATAGTATATATAGTACAATGTAGACCACATAAAATTGCATGTCTTTGGAATTTAAAACTATTGGCTGATCTTAAAAACCATTGTTAAAAATGAATAATTTTTTACAATAATAGAGAACATCATCAAGTCCATACAACCTCAAATTAATCTCATATTTTTTTGCATTTTTATATTTCAGCTATAAATTAATGTTTATTATGATAATTGAAGTATTCCAAAATTCTCAGTTGTCTTCTAAATCATTAATAAAAAAGGAAATATTTTCAGTGATGCTGCATTTTTAGATATGTGAAATTGCTCATTCTGTGAAAACTGGTAATCCAAGTATGGCATGTATGCTAATTATCAATTAATGACTGGCTAATTTTAACTCAGCCTTGGGCAAATCTGTTTCTATTTGCTTCCTCAACTATTAAAAAGGGGGAAATGACTCCTGGTCCGCAGGCATCTTGGTAAAGATTTTACTCTTTGAAAATGCTTTTCTGATGGAAAGTGCCAGACAGATATGCTCATGACACATTAACCTTGAAGTTGAGCAAGAAGGGGTTAGAGTCAAATGACACTAGAAGGTGTGACAGATTGGTAGACAAAGATTTTGAAACTAGAACTGGCTGGGACATCAAGGTTAACATTACCCTCTGACCACTGCTTTTTCTCTCTCCTTTGCCCCTTTTCTCTTTTCCCAAGCAAAGTATTGGGGTATCGGAAACCAGGCCTTACCCTTCCTTTAAGAAAGTGGCATACCGCTAGTTCCTTGTGGTTTTGGAGGGGAAAAAAAAAAAATCCCATTTGATTCCTCAGCTCGGTGATTTCCTATGATGCCTGTTTTTGTGAATGATATTTATGGATCCCCCTTTCCAGACAATTGCCTTGGAAAGTTATGTAACCAGATACTGATCTGAAGAAAAGACAGACCTGAAGGTTATAAAGTGTTGAATTTGTCTAAAGTTGAGTTCTTGTTTACAGGAGGAGAGCCTGGGACCCTTTTTGCTAGGTTAGCTTTCTCCTTTGCTGAGTCTGAGCACTTGGAATATTTTAGTGCTGGCCTGCTGTGACTCACTGCCTGTCCAGCAGCTTAACAGATGCTTGAGCAAGACCACAATATGTCTCTCAGATAATTAAACACTGGGGCTACGCACAAAAGGACAAGTTTTTATGCATCATTTATGGGGACAGTTTATCATCAGCCCCTCATTTCCACTTTCTCAATACAGCGTAGTAAACTATGGTATTTGAGAATCCTTATGCTTTGCCCTTTTCCACTCCTCAAACCTGATACAATGCCGGTTTCCATCATTGTCATCCATGTTAGACAGATCTGCTCCATTTCAGTTGCAGGAAACATTCTTAGCAAACACTTACCCAGTGTGTTCAGCAGCAATCAGGCCATTGATGATGATGTAGAAGTTTATTAGAACATGAAGAGAGGAATTACCTACAAGTAATTCTGGAGTGCTGGCTACTAGGAGCCAAATGCCTCATAGGCAGAAATTCATATGAATAGCATGCATTTATTATATGTTGGCTGCCAGAAGTTTAAGCACTTGAGCTCAAACTTGCCATTAGACCCTCCCCAGCATGCGGGCCACCCACCAGTTGCAAGGCATGATGACACGACAGATAACCCGCCCTCCTTGGTAGCAGTATGGATACGGGTAGTAACCTAGTAAAGGTTCACAGACGCGGCGGCAGTAGCGGTTGCCTCGACGGCAGTAAATACAACAATAACCTCTCTCATCCAGCATGGGGTCAAATTCTATTCCATTTTCAGTCTGAAAGAAGAATAAACCGGGGTTGGAGGGGAAGCTTCACCAAGAAGAGGCCCACCAAGCAGGGAAGGACTACAAGACTACATGAGTTGGGGACTGATGAGAAGTTAAATTCCTTAGTCTGATCAAGATTGATCAAGATTGATTATGAATGAACCTCTTAGGGATTCCATGTTTCTTAAATATTTTTTTGTTAAAACAATGACCATTCTCCATTTAGTGACTTTGATCTAAGGGGTAGTGAGTTTTTTGAGGGCTCTTTGCTATCCCTCTAACAAGAGTAATATGAACGTAACTCACATAGTCATTTATTGGAAGTTCTTCCTCACTTGCTTGTCTGGTATGGCGGGTCTTTTCCACCTTCACTTGAGGGACCACCCACTGCTCGTTTTGTTCAATGCCTTTTTTTTCATTGGTAGGAAAGTGAAGATCTTCACCATCCTCCTCAAAGTCTTGTAACTCTGAAACTAAGGTAATAAACACAAAGTTGTGATTCACCTGCTTTGCAAATGGTTCCTGAAAGAAGTGCTTGGGGTTATGGTGTTGGGAATACAGTTTTTCATTGTGTCTTCTCACTGCCATCATTTAGGCAAACATGAACCACTTTTCCAAACTCCTACAGCTGCAATTTTGAAGAGATTTCCCAAAACAAATCTGACTATTCTAATGTACACAGACCTATTCTTTGCTCATTTGGCATCAAACACTTACTGCTTTGCCTTACCAGCATCCTAATTTTAAAGATGAGGATGGCACCTGGGTGACTCAGTCAGCTGGGCGTTGGACTCTTAGTTTTGGCTGGGATCATAATCTCAGAATCTTGGGATCGAGCCCTGCGTGGGACTCCATGCTGGGTGTGGAGTCTGCTTGGGATTCTCTCTCTCTCCCTCTGCCCCTCCCCCTGCTCACATGCTCTCTCTCTCATAAATAAATAAATAAATA